GTCAGTCTGTAAGGCAAAATTTCTTATACATATTCAACAGTGTATCAAAATCAACACAAAATGGTTTGGTTGTGTAAAAAATACTTCGCTTTGTTGTAAACATCACAACTTTTTGTGTTTTTTAATTTTTCCTCTAAACAATGAGTATTTTTTTCAAGTTTTGGCTGTGTTTAAAAAGTTTCATCTTTTGAAATGTGGTCAAAATAGAATAGTCAATAGATCATATATAGTCAATAGATCATATATAGTCAATAGAGAATATATAGTCAATAGAGCATATATAGTCAATAGAGAATATATAGTCAATAGAGAATATATAGTCAATAGAGCATATATAGTCAATAGAGAATATATGTCCTGTTGTCCTTTTATCTTGTGGGTGCATGGGGCAGAGAGAGCAGGATTGATGAATAAACTGGAAAGACTTCCAGTTCCTGTTTTCTGGTACTTTGGGCTGTTGGACAGCACGTGAGACCTTGAGCATTTTTGTCTTTGTTGATTTTCCTGCCCCTGAAGGGTCATGGAAGGCTGAAGATTTCCTGTCTGACACAGATTGCTCATCTGATGGGGGCTGAGGTTTCTCCTCGGTGTGAAGTCCAGCTGGAGAGAGAGGGGCAGCAGAGCCAGGTCTCAGGAGAGCCACAGCCCTGGTTTCCATCAGCTGGGTGCTCACATCACTCAGAACCCAGGAATAAACACCTGAGGGCAGCTGTCAAAATGCTTCTTCCTGGCTTTTAAGAAAACAAATTCTGAAGGCTGGAGAGAACATGCTCAAAATCAATCATGACAAATAAATTAACAGCTCAATTACCCAAGTGCCTGACATGAACAAGGATGGTTCTCCATATACAGAATGAAATGAAATTGAATTAAATTAAATCCCCTACCACTATGGGATTTTATGTTGCAGGCTCACTCAAGAGAGGAGTATGTTGAGACACCAAGAGAGGATTTTGTGTTAAACTGGAGCAGACAATGCAGGTTCCTCTGTTCCTTGCCCTGTTACTGCCTTTGAGAGGCTCAGGAAGGCAAACAGAGGAGTTGCAGCATGGGCTCCAGCTCTTCTTCAGGTCCTTTGGCAATCAAATTAAGTTGACACACCCTCAGACAGGTCATAGGAGGTACAAGGATACTGCAGGGTCAGTGGGAATGGTGTGGAACAGAATAATGAAATTCAGGGATCTCCAGATGAGCCTCAGTGATTGCCATAATCATATATCACACAACTCTGTCACTGCTGTGCCCTGCAGTAAGGAGAAAGGGACTGGAATGATCAAAAAGGGGTTTTCCACAGCAAAATTCTCTTGTTCTGCTTCCTTTGAAAAGGACTGTAGGTATAGCATTATTTCCACCTTTGTAGGAATATTTTATCTTAAAAAGAGTCTTATTAAATAGTCTCCAGCTGGGATTGCCTTACAGAGGGGTGTTATCTGAGCACTCCAGAGGGCTCTGAAAATAGGAGAGGGAAAATGCTTCAATGAGAGAGAAAATATATCTGCTCATAAACGTTACTTTGAAATGTCCCAGTGTGTTGGAGACACAGAGAATTGTGGCTATTGAATTCATTTTCTCACTAAAAATATTCCAGTCAATTCCAAATAGTTTCTTCTCCTCACCTGTGTTTCCAGAAGCCTTCTAAAGATTTTATCTTTGAAACCAACTTTCTTTTCATCTTTGCTTTCGGGGTCAGTTTTTCTTTCTTAGTTTCTTTCTTTGTCAGACTGCCTCACGTGTAGCTATTGCTGTGTCTTCCACTGAAAACACACATTGCTTGTGGAGGAATCTCTGAGAACTTCTATGTTCATGTGTTTTCAACAGCCTGGGGATCCCTAACTGATCCCTGACCATACCAGTGTCCAAAGAGATTATCACGAGCACCCAGAGAAGGGTGAAATGCTAATTTAGAGGCTCTGATTGTGTTCTCTGAATTCAGCTGCCTCTCCCCACTGATCCAAGTGTGATCCAAAGGGAGTAAAACCTGGACAGGAAGGTGATCCAGCCTGTGCCATCATTTGTCCTCTGCTACACTGGGATGTCCAGGTGTACAGGAAGTACAGGAACTCTGTGTGTCCTTCCCTTTATCACTGGGCAGCCAGCAAATATAGAAAATACTGATTTTTTTGAAGCCTTTCTCAGGCACAGATTGATGACTGAAGAAAACAAAACCCATCATCACCCTACATTCTTCAGTTCTCCTCAAAAACAACGTTTTCATGTAGGATGCTGCTCCAAGAGGAGATTGCAGCTACAGAGCAATGCCACCAGCAGGGATGGCCCTTTGCCAGTGCTAAGCCTGAAGTTAATATACAACTGTCACACAGAAAAGAGGGGTAAAAATCCAACCACAGTGCAGTGATGAAGCTGCCACTGCCAGAGCAGTGGAATACATTCCTTTTAGGGATCATTTCTTCACTTTTAGAGATCATTTCTTCACTTTCAGGGATCATTCCTTCACTTTTATAGATGATTTCTTTCCTTTCAGGGATCATTCCTTCACTTTTAGAGATTATTTCTTCCCTTTCAGGGATAATTTCTTTACTTTTAGGGTTAATTTCTTTCCTTTCAGGAATCGTTTCTTCCTGAGCTCAACTCGGAGATCCTGGCCTGGTGACCTTGCAGAGAAACACCATTTCCATTGAGCCCAGGATTCTCCCCAGCGTCCCCTTCTGCATCTCTCACTGCTTGAAACCAGTTCAGGACACCTGGCCTGTGCTGGGGATTAATTGGAATTTGTTTTTAGCTGGCAGAGCAGGGGAGCTCCTGCTCTGCCATGTATCTTTGATGCTCTGTGCTTTTATTAATGATGGTGGAACCAAATGCACCTTCTGGTGTGAGGGGAGCTGGAGGAAAGATAATGTTATTTCTGAATCAGATTATACTTCCTCTTTATACTTAATTAAGAACACAATCTCGCTGGAGGCTGAAAAGCTTTGGCTTCAGTTTGTACAGACACATCGTATGTGTCTGCCTGTCCAAATATTTTACCTTTACATTTTACAACAATGTCTGGGCCTATAAAAGTTATGGCAAAAAGCCTATTGATTTCATCTGAACAGGAGCCAGTAGAAGCTGATTTTACCTGGACAGTGTTCTCTAACAGATGTAGCTCAGTAATAATTCATGTTCTTGAATACAACATAAAGCTATGAAAGCACAATAAAAAAAAAAAAAATCACAGTTCTGAGTCTGTTACTTTCCTCTCTGCTTAATCAACAGGAACAGAGAGAAGGAGCAGATGACCTGTAATAAAAGATTTTTACCATTTCTTCTGCACTTCTTTTTTGAAATGAAGTCATCTTTCACTCTGGCAGAGTGAGAGGGTAACACAGCACCCTATTACTATTTATGAGACATTTTCTTTGGTGATGCTTTCACCACACCACATTTGTAACTGTTGAAACATAACCTGCACCTGGAGGAGTAAAAAGCCTGGAGGAGTAAAAAGGTTGTTGTTCTGTAGGAAAGGAGAGTGAGGTACAATTTCAGTCCTGGGGTAGCAGAGCTTGTCTCAGATTATACCAGCAGAGGTGGTGTGGCTGTAATTTCCTTGCGTGAAGTAATTTGCAGAGGCACATTAATTAGTCACTGCATCAACCTGCAGTGTGTCCAGGCACAGGGAAGCTGTGAGTGTGTGAGGAGACAGACAAGAGCTCCCCAGTTCTGTCCTGGAAAATGCCAGAGGTCCCTGGGAGGATCTGGGTACTCCCAAATCCCTCAGGAGGAGAATTTTCAGGGTTCCATGGAGATTTATCCCAAATCCATCTCATGCCCCAATGAACCTTGCACATCAGGCTGCTGAGTGGGAGCTCTGTGTCCCCTCAGTGTTCAGAGAGTTCTGAACACAAACTATGGATGTCTTTTCCTCCTTTCCCTTGGAACAGAGGAGAAGGGCAGATCTGTGGGTTCAAATACTGAATTTCAGGCCTAGCTATGATTTGTGTTGGTCTGTCATGCTTAGAACATGAAAAGTGCTCTGTTTAATGGGAAAGTGGACACTGTTTCTATTCCAGCTCCCAAAGCCCTGATTCCATCTGGACCACATTTGCCTCACAAAGAACCTTTCAAATGCAAAGAATTTCAAAAATCACTGCTATGAGTTATCTGAGAATCTACACACTAAAGAAGTCCCCAGACAATCTGTCCTCATTGCAGATTTGTTTGTTAGCTTGAATTTCTTGCTCCAGAAATGGGTCAATATTCACACACATACAAAAAGATCTTTTGTTTTCCCAAGTATGTGTGAATTTTGTGGAATTCTTTTAGGATACAGAAAAGCATATCTTTATTTTCAACATCCAACATGCCAGAACCAGTTGCTTTGAAAACATCCTCGCCTCCAACGTGGTTTTCATTAGGAGAATGTACTCCCAAACTGAAATCAGTGCCAGTTTTCAGGAAGCAATCCAGTGTGTTCTTGCCTTGACATCTGTTGGTATAAATAATGTAGTAAAACGTGAATTTGGAAGAATTATTTATGTATATTTGAGAAGAGTTGCAACTGGGTGGCAATTCTGACAATCTGCTCGTACAGGCAGAGCTGCACTCAGTTCAAATACTGAAGCCAGCAAGATTTACACATTTGTGTAATCTCAGATTTGTGTAAATCTCAGATTTACACATTGCAACCAAATAAAAAGTGACAGACTGGCACAGAAGTGTCACCAGGAGCAACCTTGGGAACAGTTAAGCCTGGAAAGGAAGTTTACAATGAAAGCTGTTTTGTTGTTTGCTGGGATTTACATTTCCAATCAAGAATCCAAGAGGATTTTGGCCTGTGTGGGGTGTTTGCAAGCTGGTGAATGCAGAATGGGGACTTGCTGCACTAAGCAGATTTTAAATTCACCAAAAAAATATCCTTGTGGGGCAGAAAGCTGAGACCTGTGCACTGATACTAGGGATAATTGCATTACCAGGCCAATATTCAATTGGCAGTTGCCATAACTAGACTTTTCTGAGCTTAATTTGATATTTATTCATTATCATTTTGCACAGGATTTGCCATGCAGAGTAACCAGTGAGCACCTCCTCCCCTGCCCTGCTGTGCTGCCCAAGGGATGGGTAAGTAATTCTCATTCTTTCTGCAAACAGACATCGACTTGCTGGGAGCTCTTTAAAGCCTTGAATGGAAAAGTCAGAAAATCTAGCAGACATTTCACTGCTTTTACTTCAGTTTTTGTGCCCTCCTGCCTTGAGGGAAGTGTCCTAGTCATGGTGTGTGGAGCAGGAGTGGAGCAAGAACCCCTCACCAGCTCTACAGGCACTGGAGTGGCTGCTCTGGTTTGTGCCTCTCTTAAATGAAGTATTTGTTATTTCTTGTTATTTATCCTGTTCAGAAACTTTCTGTTCATGTGCTGAGAGGAACACTCAGTGATGTGCAGGCAGGTTCTGAGCTCTTTGGGGTGCCAGCAGGGCAGAGCTGGGGCCACTGACCAGTTCCATACCTTGTTTTAATTTGTCAGCTCTTTCCCAGCACATCTTGCAGACTCTTTTCTACATTTTGGTCCCACATGCATTAAAATCAAACTTTCTTGGTTTCTTGCCTGGTTTACATTTAAGGGGATGAGCTTGTGCTGGTTTATTTTAATACAACATCAGTTCTAAAATACTTTTTCCACTGGAAGACTCCAGCTTTTCTGGCTGTGCTGAAAGCAGCATTTGGTATAAGCCATAAACCCTACTTCAGACAATTGAATCTATTCAAAATGAGGCTGAAAAGGAAAAAGAGCACTACAGCAAACAAAGGTTTGTGTGTCCCTGTTTAAGCCTTGTTTAAGGCTGAGAATCCCATGGCTCTGAGAGATGAGCTTTGCCTTTGGAGCACTCTAACACTTTAAGACATTTTTTATTCCAGCTGTTTGCCCAGTCTGGAGCAGAGCTGCCTCACTTTCTGCCTTGCCACTGAAAATGCATCTGAGCTCTGTGAAAATGCACTTTGAATCATTTCTTCTGTTATTGCACCTGAGACAGGGAAGATGCTTAAAGTTCATAAGGGAGCTGAGATCAAATCTAATCACCTGTGCACTGCAGACAATTGTATTTCCCATTTGCTAAATCCAATTGTTGGTTTTTCATTCAAGCATCTACTGAAGAGAGTTCTTGCTTTGCCTTGTAGTAAAAAAGTGAATCAGTCAATTGTTTTATTTCTTCTAGAGGTTAATCACCTTCCCTTATGAAATGTTTGTGTCTATGTTGATGTTTCAGTTTATCTGTCTTCAGCTTTTTCCCACTGGTTCTTGGTCTGTCCTGCTGTGCTCAGCTGGAATAACCAGTTCAGCCCCCAGTAAAATTCATCTTCTCACCCCCAGCCTGGGTCCCAATTACAGCCTGCTGTCCCACCCCAGCAGGGTTGAATTGGGTAAAATTGTAAGTTGAATCTCCTCTATGTCCCAGGTCAGTGATTCCCAGAATATTCCACCCCATTCAGTGCAATTAAATCAGCAGCCAGGGCAAAAAGTGCTCAGTTTATGACTGACTCCTCTGTGCACCCGTGTAATAATCCTCAGATAAACTGATCATGAGATTGTACTGCTTAAAGCCAGTGTTTATCTTTCCAAGCACTTAAGGCATTAAGTGTCAGTATGAGAGGAAAATGAAACGTTGGCAGAGAGTTTTTGGAAACAAACATCAACTGGAATATTAAGAAGCTTGATGCAAGGAGCAGATTTAGGGTTTCCTCTGACAGGTTCGAGCTCTTAAATAAGGGAGATAAAGATAATAAATGTTGTAGAATATCTGATTTAGAGCTCTGATGTCAGATTATCTGACTGCTCTGTACAGATCACAACTGAGATTCCCTATCACATCACCCCATAGCTGTACCCACATTAACCCAGTGAGAATCCAGAAGTGGGACTGTCCAGAAACTTTGTGTTTTAGAAGGATGATACAGCCAGATGCAAAACGCTTCCTGGAAAACAGCTTAAAAGAGGAGGAAAGTGCTGATTTCTGATTTAAAAACTAATTTTGGGATTCAACTCAAAAAGTTTTTCATCAACCCTGTCATTCCAACTGAACTAAAAGTGTTTGGGGAAAAAAAGGCAAATAATTCTCAAACAGAATGTGGTATCTGGTGACAGCCAGCACATGGATATGGAAACCAGCTGCTTGTCTGGGTAGTACAGGCAATATTGACACACAGATATGGGCACTGCAACCCTCCCACTGCAAATTAGACAAGAGTAACTTTGCATCTAGAAAAGAGAACAGTGCTTCTCTTACTCTTACGAGGTGTTTCTAATAGCCCGCAGAATAATTTGTGACTTTGTAATAGGAATCTGTTTTGGGACCAAGAGTTATGGTTCTTGTCTGAAAAAATACTGGGAATTTTTGCATAAAACTTTAGGGAGTTTTGCAGGATTCTTGCTCTCAAGAATTGTAACAGCTTTTAGTTTTGTCTTGGTTTGGAGCAAAATTGAGACACTGACATTTGAAGTTAAATACACTTCTTTGTTATGGTAACACACCCTTCAGTGCTACATTCAAGAAGAGAGCTGAAAATTCACACTTTGCGCAGCACACTTTAAATTCTGTCTGAGCCCTGTATTCCGTAGTCAGATTTCACCTAACTTTCCTCACATGGAGCTTTTCTTGGCTCGTAGTAACGCAGAAATCCCGGTGAGAAGTTCACACCTTCGCTCGGGGCTGATCTCACCGCAGCTCCTTTGCTCTCACAGTCTCACCCTGCTGAGGACACCCCTGAGACCTCTTGGATTCCTGATTTTGGCAAAACACTTCTTCCCACGAAAACCAACATCGGGATTAACTTCAGTGGGACAACATTCAACTCTTATTATTTTTAAATCATGTCACTAATATACTTATTGGAGCCTTGCCCTGGTGTAATAAAAGCACGTTTAAATTGCTGAAGGGCTCAGCTGCTGCCTCCAACAGCTGCATGGCTGTAATTTGCCAGTAGGATGTATTACATCCTGATTGCAGTTTCTTTTGGGAGATAGGCCAAAATTACAAGGCCAAAATGTGGCTAATCATGATAAAGGAGATAAGTCTATTCATCTTATTCATCTCCTGCCTGCATTTAATATTTGCACAGCAGATGCTGTTTGTTCCCTTCAGCTTCATTTCCATGGAAATTCTGAAGAAGGCATAAGGTTAATAAAAAACTTTATTGGACATTTTGATGGCGGAGAGAGGGAGAAAGGTGAAATATCTTGGAAGGCTTTTCTTTGTTTCCCAGCCCAGATAAACTTAGACAAATCAACCAGCCCTTGAAAGACAAGCAAAGTGAGCTACTCCAGGCCAGGAACAGATGTCTGGGAAAGATGAAGAGAACAGAACAGGGATGAAGGCTGAGTGGGCTGTGAGTGTCATTTACTGCCCTCATTCCCACCAAGCCATACACAGGCTGCAGTTAAACCTCCTCTGCTGTTTTGGCTCACCAGAAAGCCAAGCCTGAGACCACAAAATCCCAGACTGGACTGGGATTGGGAGGGACCTTAAAGCTCATCCAGTTCCACCCCTGTCATGGGCAGCAACACCTTCCACTGTCCCAGGGTGCTCCAAGCCCTGTCCAGTCTGGTCTGGGACACTCCTAGGGCTCCAGGGGCAGCTGAGGTCTGCAATAACACACACGTTTCACCCTTGCAGCTGAGGACTGCAGTAACACCCACGTTGCACCCTTACAAAGCAGAGAGTGCCCAGAAGTGTGTGAGCAGGGAGCAGAGATCTGGCTTGATGGCTCAGTAAGAGATGAACTCCCCTTCTACAAGCCCTTGGTTCCAGTCTGGGGAAATCTGTGGGACATCCCCCAGCTCCTGCTTCCATTCCTGCTTCCATTCCTGCTTCCAGCACCTCCTTCCATTCCTGCTTCCAGCTCCTGCTTCCATTCCTGCTTCCAGCACCTCCTTCCATTCCTGCTT